CCAATTTCATTCAAGATCAAGCCTCGAAGGTCCTTGAAGAAATCACAAGTCCGATTCAAGATCAAGTGTCCACCACCCTTGAATCAAATTCCGCTCCAGATAAAAGGAGTAAATTCCGATCTTCAATGCTAGTCTAGCAGAAAGTCCTACAACCCAGTTCAAGAAAAAGGCTGTGGAAAGTTAACAATAAGTAGAGCAACTCTTTCAGCAACTCTTCTTACTAAGAGACTAAATCAGAACGATCAACCATCAACCTAAATGATTTGAAATCAGGGGGAGATACTCATCAGGGGGAGCATCCAAGACAGATCAAGGTTTTAACGAGTCAATCGAAGACTTGTGGCCATCCAAGGGGGAGTGTTGTAAATATTATGTGGATGGCCCACATGAATAGTTTGTTACTATTTATTCACATTATTTTCACTATTCATTTGTGGAAAATTTGTAAGGTGAATAGTGTCCTCTTTGATTATAAAATGAATGAGAGGAAGAGGAAGAAAGGGGTTCACGGGAAAGAAAGAGAGGAAGGAAGGAAGAGGAAGAGAGAGAAGGAAGAGGAAGAGAGAGAATAGAGGAAGATGAGAGGAGATAATAGAGAGAGTTATCTTTGTACTCCTATTATTTCAAATTATAATGAAAGCACCGCTGCTGCCCCGAGGACGTACTCCAGTCACACTGACTGTAGAGGAACCTCGTAAATTTTGTGTCTTGTTTCATTTATTCCACTGCACCCACAGTCGATTTTACAACATAAGCCAATTTTGGTGCCCTACCTTGAGTTATAGTCGAAGCAAAATTACATACTATTTCTAAAATTGAACCAAAATAACTCAAACTATTTCTGAAAATAAGCCAAAATAACACACACTATTTCTGGAACCACACCAAAATAATCAACACTATTTCTAAAACTTAACCAAAATAGTTCACATTATTTCTGAAATTGAACTAGAATAACTCACACTATTTCTGAAATTACACCAAAATAATCCACATTATTTCTGAAACGAACCAAAATAATCCACACTATTTCTTATACTTAACCAAAATAATCTACACTATTTTTGGAAGTAAACCAAAATAATTCATACTATTTCTGAATGTGAATAAAATAAACATTATTTCTAGAAATACAGCAAAATAACCCACACTATTTAAGAAATAGTCAGTGTTTAATTTAAGAAATAGTGATGATACCCGTATTCAGTTCTAGAAAAAATCATTGTTCAGTTCTAAAAATAATCACTGTTTAGTTTAAGAAATAGTGATAGTACCCATGTCTAATTCTAGAGTTAATATTCAATTATAGAAATAATGTGAATGGGAGGCCAAGGAACCTTGAAACCATGTCAAGATTTGCGGAGTTGACCATGACACATAGTGAAAGCTATTGTCACATATGTCATTGTAAGTTGTAGAGCTTAATCTAGTGTTAGAAAGTTGTGTACAATGGAGATAATATGTACAGAATTTCCGAAACAAGCAGACTAGACTGGCTTTTGGTTAAAAATTTAAAAGAGGAAAGCATTGCTCCAATAGCTTTTGAGGCGATGCAATGCTTTTGGGTAAAAATATGGTGTATGTAAAAGTTTTCCAATTTTCAAATAAGAAATGGTTGCTTGCAACCATGATAGTTTTTTGTGTTTGAAATGACCTAGTTGTTGCAAATTGCAGGAAGTACCTGCACTTCATAATTATTTTGCATAAAAATTGTGTTGATGCCATTTCATTTGCTATGTTTTTTTTGCTACATTTGAGTTTGTAAATTGTCTCTGGAAGACATCATTGAAATTAGTCATTTGAATACGTTTAAGCTGTTAAGTTTTATGAATTTTTTTTTAAGGTCAAAGGTGAATAAATATTTGGAATAAAAAACGTAGCAATTGTTAGAGTTAATGTAGAAACATAGAGAATAATCCGAATAATGACTTTGAGGTACGATTTGAATCGTTTCCTTAAAGTGTTATTTACCCCCACTCGAATGAGTTTGCTAAAGGGTTCTTGGCAACCACTTCCAGGATACAACAAAGTATGGAATATTCGATTAGCAAAATCGAATTATATTCCTTTAGAAATAACTACAAAGAAATTGTATGAATGTGATGGAGAGACAAGAGAGAGCAAAGAAATTGTGTAGATAACAAATTTCTGAAATTAATGAATTCTCTTCTACTAATGTTACCAATATATATAGAGAGAATTGCACTCGTTAAACACATCCTTTGATTTGAGTATGTCTTTTCACCATGGGATACAACACATTACAACAGTATGTCCAATGGACATATCTAATACAAAACACCAATTACCCAAAGGTCACATATGTTGTAAAACATTCAGCAACCATTTGGTATCTCTATTAGCAAAAAGCTGCAATGCTTTTCGAAAAGATATAATTGTTGGGTTAATGATCCAACTTCCCGTCAAACATCCTTATATATATATATAAATAATATATTATTATATATATATTTTAAAATATTCAACAACAGTTTTTATTCCTAAAGAATGTTAAACACGACCTGTAAATAAAAAAAAGTTAGGGCAAAAGACTGTTTACTACCCTCATGTTTCGTGGTTTTCAACATTTAGTACATCAAATTTTTTTCGTCCCAGAGTCATACCTAAAGTGTAAATTTTGGGACAGTCTCATACATCCGTTAGTCAAACTGTTAAGTCTGCCGTTAACTGTGACGTGGCGCCCATGTGGCCAATGACTGGGCGCCACCTGTCATCCACGTGGAAATTTAAAAAAAATTATAAAATAATATATATATTATAAAATAAAAAAATTAAAATAAAAAAAAACTGAATTTGGGCAGATTCAGAAGAAGAAGAAGAAGGAGAAGGAAGAAGGAGGAAGAAGAAGGAAGAAGAAGAAAGAGGAAGAAGAAGAAGGAGGAAGAAGAAAAAAAAATGGGCAGATTCGGAAGAAGGAAGAAGAAGAAGGAGAAGGAAGGAGGAAGAAGAAAGAAGGAGAAAAAGAAAGAAAAAAAAAACGAATCTGCTACCCAGATTCAGAGGAAGAAGAAGGAAGAAGAAGAAGAAGAAGAAGAAGAAGAAGGAAAAGGAAGGAGGAAGAAGAAAAAAAAAATATGTTTTTTTTTATTTAAATTTATTTATTTATTATTTTATAATATATGTATATATATATTTTTTAAATTTCCACGTGGATGACACGTGGCACCCAGTCATTGTCCACATGGGCGCCACGTCACAGTTAACGGCAGACTTAACAGTTTGACTAACAGATATATGAGACTGTCCCAAAATTTACACTTTAGGTATGACTCTGGAACGAAAAAAACTTGATGTACTAAATATTGAAAATCACGAAACATAAGGGTAGTAAACAGTTTTTTGCCCAAAAAGTTAATTGCAGAGCTATGGTAGTTATGGTTTAGTGAATGGTTATTTTGTTCTAGCTGGCAACCCACTTTTGTTACTCAAGAATAGCTATGGCAGTTAATTGCAGAGCTATGGCAGTTTTGGTCTAGGGAAAAAAAAAGTTGAAAATAAATTAGTTTTTGTTTTATTTGACTTTTTGGGCTTGATGGCAATTTCGTAAATAATATGAAGTTGTATTAACAGATTTTGGCTAACATCTGTTAGGGGCAAAGTTGGAAGAAAAATTTGATGTTGCATGCCGAGCTTTGCTTCAGCCCGTGTGATTTTTTTTTTTTACCTGTTGTATGTTACTTGTGTCATTTTCATTAAATATCAAGCAATTTTCATTAAATAAAAGTTGTTAATGAATTTTGGTTAAGAAAAAGTTGGCCCAAGCCCTTTCCATTAAAGCTCTCTTAAAATAATTGAAATATCTTTTACTGGACGTAGTGGTTTGGGGTTGATGACGTGGCTTTGCTTTTTGGTTGATAGACAAGGATCTTCTTCAGATCCTCTTTGTAAGGATCGAAGATCAATTAATTGTGTTCATTTATCATACATCACGCAATCAGCTTTTATTAGGTATTATTTATATTTAATTTAAATTTTAAAATAATTTTTAACCTTACGATATACAATGAACGAAACGATTAATTGATTATATGAATCTCTACAAAGAGGATCTTATTCCTTTGTTGCTGAAGTGGTTGAGTTGTTTTGCTTGATTTGATTGTCGGTTGGTCCATAGAAAGAAGAGGATTTTGGCCAGAATGCAAGGGATGACTCTTTGTAGAAGATATTCTCCTTTCTTAATTCAACTAGAGAATAATTATAAGGAGTATGAAATTTTTCTGGATAAGGAGAACTTGTTTTGGAAACATAAGTCCTTGGTTACTACATGGAGGGTTCCCACAAGTCTATATATTCTTTGATTTCGTTCCCACCCCCCACCCCCCCCGGTAAGATCAATATCACAACAAATGAGGTCTGCAAGTTTCACATCTAAATAATACCCGATCTGATAGTTTACTATATAGATAGAATGTCACTTCCTTCCCCTTCCTCTTCCCTGCTTGCTCTGTTTTCATTCAGAACCTAAGCTTTACCACTGTTTCTCACGATGGCTTTGGCTTAGGTGGTTCAGATATCGGAGAAAGGTCAGACACAAGAAAGGGTTTTCGTCGACCTTAACCAGATTGAAACGTTTACAATTATACCAAATTGAAACGTTTACAATTATTATAACTTTTAGAGGATCCTTTGTTGATAACCGTAGAATCAAAATCCAATGGCTCGTGTTATTGGGTTAGGCGGTTAGGCGGATCCCGAGGCTTTGCCTCGGAGAGGATCCAATTCCGATTTGGACTTCAATCAGCAGTACATGGATATTTTTCTAGGTCAGGGATATGCACAGGAGCGAAAAAGTTTTTTTAACGAGTGAACGGATTTAACTAGTTAATCTCAATCATACGCCGTCCAGATCTACATCAACAATATCACACACTGTGACTTACTGTAATAACACAAAAAACTAGGAAGAAATAAACACAAATGATCAAAGATATTGATGAACTATGAATGGCTAAAATTATCAAAGATAAAAACAAATAAACAAAGTATAAACAAATAAATAAAAAGGGTAGCCGGATAGCTAAAATTATTATACAAGGATGAGAAACTGGACAATCAGACACCGTCCAAATCTACGTCAACAATATCACATCTTCAAAAACATGCATCCAGCATGCAACAGCAACAGAGGGCAGCACAGCAGCGCTTCCAGAAGCCATCATCCTTCGATTTGGTTTCTACCGGAACCGCCTTTTGGGGTACATCTCTTGTTGGGTAGCCGGCTGATGGCGGAGCTTTCACGTTACAGGGACCATGAGCGGCGCATCCTGCTGCACATCAATTAAACAAGGTCACTCAGTGTAATTAACAATCAATTTTGCCTAGAATTCAGATAAAAACTAATTAAAGAGAGAAAATGATCAGCTAGTATTTTTGACTTAACAAATGTCGTTCATGAGAAGAGTGGGAACTCGAGAAAAAACTTAAAGAAAAGTTGAACATGCAACTTAAAAAATTTGAGGAATCAAGAAACTGAAATCTTTGATTGACGGAAACTAAACATTCTCCCATAGTATATTCAAATTAAATTCAAGAAAATATATATACATGAAGATCTGGATATTTAAGGGAAGAAAGTAAGAAAATACGAGTGAGGGTGGAGTTACAGTACCTGCTGAATTAGTAGGCATCTTTGAACACACGCGAAGATCTGGGGAAGATTTTTAGGTTATGGGGTTTAGAACTTCAGACAACCAAAGTACTTGGAAGGCTTTGAGTTGTTAGTTTAGAAGACGGTTTTCATGAATATTTATAGGCAATGTTCTAAAAATCGGCCTAGGCGGCCGCCTAGGCGGCCGCCTAGGCGCTAGGCGTGGGTGTGATCCGAATCGTTAAGAAAAATCGGGCAGCTGTTAGGACGGTCTAGGCGGAGTGAAATCGTTTCCTGGGAAGAAATTGCAAACAGATACCCAGAACTTTCTCGCCGCTTCGACTCCCTCTCTCTGTGCACCACAATTTTCTTACCTCTCGCAACTCCCTCTCTCTAAAATCCATTGAAGAAGAGGAACTTACAGCCCAAAACATAAGAAGAGGAAACAAAACAACAAAAAGGGAGAACTTACAGAGGAAAACGGAAAAATAAAGAAGAAGAAGAGGAAACGAAGACGATGAGGAAAAGGAGAAAGACTTAAAAAGAAAAAAAGCTACCGTTTTTAAGGTGTCATATTGGTCTCCTTGGTTGATGTGAGGCATGGGGACTAGGGATGGAGGGGAGGTCACACCACACACGTGATGCTGAAAGGGGAAGCATGCATGCACCCAACCCACGATTTTCACTTTTAATTTAAAAAAATTAGATATAACTATTCAAAATATCTTAAGTTATATGGCTTAAGGTATTTTTAAATTTTAGACTTGTTGGATATTTTTTTTACATTTTATAATTTTTTTATTATTTAATTTATAAATTTCATATAAGTATAATTTGTTTGTAAGTGTCAATATGCATTTATTTACAAGATATACAAGAAATTTATCTAAATCCGCCTAGACCACTTAGGCGCCCGCCTAGATCCCACCTAGGCGCTAGCCCGCCGTTCGACTAGCGCTTAGCATTTTTTAGAACCTTGGTTGAAATTGATATCTGAACTAATTTTTTGGTACATTAACTCTTTGAATTATTTGAAATTAGCCAATTAATCTTTTACCGTCTGATTCGATGAAATTTTATTCACTTTGTTGTAAAATTAATACTAGCACATGGTTAGCACATAATTCTCTATTAAGTAAAATCGTGCTAACATTAACTCAGAAAATAAAGCACAATTTAGTAGCTTAATTTATTCTTTCCTAACAAGGGGGAATCTCGAAGTTTATTTAGTGATAAAAAGTATGAATAATAACAACTCCATAGTTACTTTCACATACAACCTCAAATCCTATCATCGTAAAAAGAGAACGGTGTATTATGAGCTCAAAACGAATGTTGTGTCTTTTAAAAAATTTATTATATGTATGTAGAAAATTAACATTAAGATGAAAGAAACATAATTATATCGTCCAAATGTGTCTAACTTGGCAACGGCCTGACTGTATAGGAGGGATATAAATAAAGTTAATGCTAAGGATGTCAAATTTGTAGATAAAATTTGAAAACTAAATAACGTGTCACCAATAAGAAATAAACACGTTAATCAACACTTAAGTAACAATTCAATATCAACTTATATATCATTTAGTTCCTAAAATTTTATCTATAAGCTTAATCTCCCTAACATTACCCTATAAATAATTCTGTTTGATGCATTAAAATGGGTCAATATAAAATCTAGACGAAATAGATATATATGGTAGATTTTTAAATGTCTCCTCTCATCAATAATTAGTCTTTTACCAAGCTTCTGGTTAGATCTAAAATGAAAGGAAAATGAATGAAAATGGCTTAAAAACTTTGAGTTTTAATGATAAGGACAAAATAAAGGGTAAAGTGAATAGTACCAAGATTGACTTTTTCGTGTAAAAATGTGGTTTTTCGTTAAAATGAATAGTATCATGTGCTTTTCGTTAAAGTTCCCTATAAAATGTTCCAATGCAAGAGGAAAGGTAAGTGGCCTATATTACTCAAAGGTGGTGCCAGGTGCCCACGCAGGTGGACTTTATACTATTTCTATATTTTCCATACCACCAAATTTCAAAACGTCGTACATCACATATTTCTTTACTTATCATGCTGTATTAACCTTTTCAAGCTTACTGATGGAGGGGGATTTAGATGTAGCGGATTGTGACTTCATTAATAATTAATGTAAGATTATGAGAAGACAATCTTATATTTTAAGATACATTAATAGTTTAAGAAATTACGATAGAGTGCAATTCAGTGAATCAGTGAAAACGATCTTATACTTTAAGATACATTAATTACATCTTCCAATAGCTTGTAGTGCAGTGAGTCGATTTCATGAAAGTCTTTTATTTTATTCATGAGTTACTAGTTTTGAATCCCGTCTTCACCTTGTTCCGCAAACACGATTAGTCACACATAATCAGTACATAAAAGACTTGATTAAATGGAACAAAGATAAAATTGTACTTCGGGTCAAAGGCTGGAACGGTGGAGCTCGATCGAGACCCTTCATATATGCATGTGTGGACATAATTACACACGGACCAGCATATCAAATAGATGACTACTTCCTTCCAAGATCTTTTACGAATCAGCATATGATGACTTGACTATGGCAATTACCGCTTGAGAGATTATAATTATAATATTCTTTGATTTCATTATTTAAATTTTGTGTGGACTGAAAAAAAATTATTGTTCTATATAACTAGCTAAGCGAAGAGAAAAATAATAGAATTTAGAGAGAGAGAGAGAGAGAGATGGAGGTGACAAAGGCGGTGAGAAATTCATCAGAAAAGATTGAGGATGAAGAGGAAGTGATGCTTCCAGGGTTTAGATTTCATCCAACAGATGAGGAACTTGTTGGGTTTTATCTAAAGAGGAAGGTGGAGAAGAGAGCCATTCGTATGGAACTCATCAAACAGATTGATATCTACAAATATGATCCTTGGGATCTCCCAAGTAAGACCCCTCAAGGCTCCAGATGTTTAGTTAATTATTTTGAGTTACTGATGGTGTGTATATATATATCTTGGCATCTTACTATACTAATATTTTGAAAACTAATATCTATATACAACTAGTATATATAAGCGATACAGAAATTAATATAAGAACTACGTACTGAATGTTTAAAATTATAGGTCAGGTTAAATTCCGAAGTAAACTAGTGATGCGTTCTTCCAAGGTTAGTATGAGATTGAACTAGCTTAATTAGCTTATAGTAATTTGGAGAGTAAGATTTTTAAAACTGGTTATCATCCTTATGCAGAGAAATATTTATGTTGTGTGAGTCGCCTATAAAACATGACGTCAGATACTAATTAATACAAACACTTGGAGATTGCAATAAAATACTCAAAGATATATAAAAAATCTTAGTTATGATTAAGGAAACTTCTCAATCTAAAAATCTTAGTTATGATTAAGGAAACTTCTCGATCTTAGTTATGATTAAGGAAACTTCTCAATCAATGGAGTAGCAAAAAGAAGAATGTGAACCTAATTTCTCATTTTTCAAATGATGTGGCTATCCATATCAGATGTCACCTAAGGTGGTATAGAAATGTGGTATAAAAACATGATATGAATAGCTATACTCTTGAGCATATGATGGAAGAGTAATGCTATTCATACCATGTTTTTATACCACATTTCTATACCACCTTAGGTGGCATCTGATGTGGACAACCACATCATATGAAAAATTTTCAAAAACCAAGGAAAGGAAGGAGAAAGACTCATTGTATACCACAATCATCATTTAATTAACTAGTTTTTCTTAATTATTAATTTATTAAATAATGAACTAAATTTAAAAATATGATTAATTCAAATTATGTGGCTATCCACATCAAATGCCACCTTAGATGATATAAAAATGTGGTAAAAAAAAACATGGTATAAATAACATTACTTTATGCTCAAAGCTATAAAAAGTTGTGTCCCACTATTCATTAAGGAAACTAATCAATTCTAATTCTTCTTAGAATGTTAGGATTAATTAAAAGGAATAAATTTATTTCATGTACAGTCCTCTTTTAATCATGTCAAAATGAAAAATCATTCACCTATGCCTACACACCCACACACAACACTAGTACTCAAGCGTCAAGCGTAAACATGCATTTCGTCCATTGACTTAATGAATCTCTTTTTCCGGTAACAATGAACAAGCTAGCATCGTGGGGGACAATGAGTGCTACTTCTTTTGCAGAAGAGGAAGAAAATATAGGAACAGCATAAGACCTAACAGAGTCACAAGTTCTGGATTTTGGAAAGCCACTGGGATTGACAAGCCTATATATTCAGTTAAAGATCCCCTCGAGTGCATTGGCCTCAAGAAATCATTAGTCTACTACCGTGGGAGTGCTGGCAAAGGCACCAAAACTGATTGGATGATGAATGAGTTTCGCCTTCCTCCTAATGGCCAAGGGAAAAATGCCAAGTTCCTAAGGGCCAAAGTCGACGTTACACAAGAAGAAGCTGTAAGTTTCTTATAATTCTTATGCTTTTTAAAATTAATTGAGAATCCAATCTATGTGTTAATTTTCATGACATGTTGACAATAGTCGAGTTGGATTAAAGAATTTGGGGAGTCTAATAGCACTGTTATTATTAACCGTTTTTAGTATAATTACGTGAAGAGTAAATTGTAACAATGTCCCTCAACTTTAAACCAATTGGAGTAATGGTTCTTCAACTAAAAATTCATTACCATTGGTCCCTCAACTCATCAAAACGAGCAACTTTGGTCATTTTCATCAACTCTGTTAGAACTTCCGTCAACATGAGTCACATTTCATGCATGTTAGGCTAAATCAGGCGGCGAATATGGAAAATTAAATAAGAAAAGTTGTATCAATAGTCTCTCAATTTTAACCCAACTAGAGAAATGATCACTCAACTTTAACACAATCGGAGCATTGGTCCCTGAACTTTAACCCAATTGTAGCAATAGTCCTTCCAAAATAACTCATTTTGACGGAATTGACGAAAATGGTCATAGCTAGACGTTTTGATGAGTTGAGTGACCAATAATAATGAATTTTTAGTTGAGGGACTATTGCTCCAATTTGATTAAAGTTGAAGAACCATTTCTATAATTTACTTTTATGTGAAAGTTTAGAATTTTGTAAGCCAATTACATAGAGCCACATGTACGGAGGTTGGGGGGAGATGACCACTTCCAGTCTGCATGTACATTCGCCCCTACATGTTGATGACTAGTGTAGTTAGAATTATTATCCTATGAATGTAGGGAAAGAATAGTATTTGCAATACCCTTGGGGAAATCCCCCACTTGCAAATAATGCATCTTCACCGTAAAAAGTTCATAATCGGAATCATTCGATCTCTTAGTCTTTATTTGAAAATGATCCCTGTACTAAAATCACTCTAATTGAATATTGTTCAATCTCTTAAACTTCATTTGATCATCATCCAATCATTCGAATTTGGACATTGTTAGTCTGTCATACACCACATATGCGTTCATGCTATATAAATTAACTTATCAATATATTTTCTATATAAACACAAATTACATGTACCTTTTGTGAAGTGGAAGTCCAAATACAAACACCAATTATATATCATGACTCATGATAAGATAGTTGCTTACTGATTGTAAATATATGAAATTCCCACTTCAGTTGAGATTAAAAAAAATTGGCATATCAGTTGCTGCGCTCCCCTAGAAGTATACTGTCCTTCGGTTTTGATGTTCTACTATGCAATTTTGCATCATACATGGAGTTGCGTTATCCTTAAGTTGCCTTTTTTTTTTAATTAGTACCGTCTTCTCATGCAAAGAAAGTGGTCCAAAACTAATTACAACGTACAATTACGTGAATATGATTTGCAGGAGGTCTGGACACTCTGCCGAATTTTCAAACGAATCCCATCTTATAAAAAGTACACACCAGACTGCAAAGAATCCACGACCAGACAAAACCCTACTGATTTAAGTTCTAAAACATGCAGCTTCGAATCTGGGAGCTACTGCAGTGAGCTACACTTTGGTCTCGAAGATTTGGTCATTCAACGCATTGAAAGATCAAAACCAGTTCATGTGGATGAACAAGTTGACGAAACAAATCGCTGGCTTGGAGGGGAGTTGGACCCTATCTATGACCCGACTCCATTTGCAACAACTTATTCAAGCTTTAGGAATCCAAGCGATGGCGATTTCTTGGAAACTGGGATGAGCTGAGACCAGTGGTTCAGCTGGCTGTTGATCCATCGTCCCAAGTTTATGACTGTAGAATGTAGATAGGCTAGGTATACTTGGAGGGCTAGTGTGCACTTGTAAGCTTCGTTAATTTCCTTCTGTTATTAGCCTCTCCGCACGCACATGAGCTACAAGCTCCTAAAGGTGTATTGTGTTATTTTTTTTTTCCATTGTAATTGTCAAGATATATTTTACATGTATTGTGCAAAGAGGAACTTTATCTTTATCATGCACGTCTTAAAAAGTTGTCATATTTTTCGTTTTCATTTTGCCTAAAGTAATGATTTAAATGTTATTCATACAATTGTCAAACAACATGAGATTTTGGATGCAAATTCCTACCTAAAGTTCATAAACAATAGTAAGTAGATGTGAATAAAAAAAGAGTAGATGAAAACATTAAGTACTCGTAGCAAAATACAAAACAACTTAAATGTCAAAATATAAAACCTACATCACAATATGTACATTTTTCACAATACCCATAAAGTCTATATGTCACTGTTTCTTTTGAAAAGAAAATTGACATCAATGCTGCAATTTCCACCCATTTTTTCCTGATTGACGCTTCACTTTTTCATTTCCAATCTACAAACAATAGTGAGAAACTTAAAAATCAAATAAATGAGTTAAATGATAAGTGAGATATGCATATTGAAAGGTTATCGTTAATAAAGTTGTTACCTATTAGGAATCACCATAATTAGCTGGAATGAAGCAAGACTTCTTTGTATACTATCCGTGTAAATACACCTTGTTGCCGACTATGGAGCCATTTTTTACTAACACAGTTGTGGTTGACTTTGAGACCCCCCTCGATAAAGCCACATATAATTGTCCATGACTGAAAATGTGATCTGGAAAGTAAATGCCTACATTAGGCATTGTCTGACCTTGAGATATGTTTATAGTGATAGAGTAACTTAGTTTCACTGGAAACTGCTTTCTTGTAAGTTCAAATGGAAGTCCAACAGTATCAGTACTTTTGAGAGGGGTTCTTGGTAAGAAAACTCTGGATCCGGCAAATTGTCCAGTTAGAATTTTAGCATCAATAAGATTTCGGTAAGAACCACGACACAATAATCTTGTACCATTACACAATCCCAATTTCGAATCAATATTCCTTAAAAGCATGATTGGAGCACCTTTTTTTAGAGTTAACTTGTGTGGAGGCAAACCACAAAGTGAGATTGAATTCAAGAACTCTAGCTAATACAAATTCCTTTCATCATCCTCAACTAAATCAAATGAATACATGGTCTCTTCTAAACCTGGAAACATATTGATTCTTTTCATTTAACAGATCAACGTCTTCATTTGTAGAAGTTACCACTGCCCTTTCCACCATGTAGGTTGCATCATTCATATGATCCTCTAAGTCAGGGAAGATTTTGGCAATTAATTGATTAATGGAATGCTCACTCTCCCATGGTATCACCATGCATTCAGGTAGTTTTACCATATCATCCATAATAACATCTTCATTCCCACCACCAACACGAAGTAAAAATTTTGACAATTCACGATCATTTATGGATCTTATATTTTGTTTGAGTTTTAAAATTTTTACCTGTGACCAAAATGATGCCTTAACAACACTTGCTTGGATTAGTTCGGACTTGGTTCCTTTCCGGATAACAGGAAGAACTTGTCGAAAATCTCCCACAAATATCATTATTTTCTGCCCAAATGGTAAGTCAATATCTGTTAGGTCTCTGAACGTTCGATCGAGTGCTTCAAATGCATGACGATGCGTCATTGTTGCTTCATCCCAGATAATTGCCTTTGCCTTTTGTATTAGCTTTGCTAAATCAGATTGCTTACCAATCGAACACATCGATGATGCATCGAGACTAAGTGGTATCTTGAATTTAGAATGTGTTGTCCTCCCACTAGGCAATATCGTAGCTGCTATTCCAGATGATGCTGTTGATAATACTATGTGCCCCAACCTTCTCAAGCTTGCTAACAATGCGCAATATAAGTAAGTTTTTCCAGTTCCACCAGGACCATCCACAAAAAAAGTTGCATTCTCTGATCGTTGAACTGCACCCATTATTATGTTAAACGCACTTCTTTGGTCATCATTTAAGCATTCAATTGCATCAAGATCTTGTTGTGGAATACCTATGGATATCTCATCTTCAATACATCTTGTCATTCCTGAACTTGATTCATTTCCTCTTGTCATTTGAGGCAAATCAAACTCATTTATACTCTTATTAAATTGAACCAAAAGTATGTTCAACTCACGCAAGAGTCTGTTGGTAGTAAGTGTGGGAGTTATATTAGTCATGAAAACATAATCTTCTATCATGAATGGATAGAACTCATCCCATAACCCTCGAACACCAATTGGTGCACAATATACCAATATGGTGACAAATAATCTTCTTAAAGCCGACGGCATCTGAATTGTGGAGGCCTCTAGCAAACATTGTCGAATATTGTCATCTCTTTCTAACAAACCTCGTTGTTTTGCTGCCTGCTTAAATGTTGGATGCAAAACCCCATTAACTGTTATCAAGTTTGAAGGATGTTGGTCCTCTAACATGATTAAGAAGAATCCGAAGGTAAAATTTTTCACCTTCAGCAGGTGAAACTGCATATATTCGCCCAATAACCTTGTTACGATTCATTCTTTTAGACCACTTTCTTTGAGCTTGAATCCATCTGTTATCTGATGGGATTTTCATGTATAAGTACCATCGTGCTTCTACATCCACATGATTAAGTGTAAAAAATTCAATTAACATTGTCTTTCTTGTACTCTCATCATGTAGAATATTTATTATGCGCTCATCAGTACGAAACTGAACTTGGTGCATATTAGGAAGATGTATTTGCAATTGCTCAATAGATGGGTAAATTCGATTAATAATGAACTTGAATATCTTCCATAATGCCTCTGGTGCACAAACCCATCTTGCATCCTGAAATTGCTTCATTTCATTGTATTCAGGGTCTGATTGCACTTCGACTGTCACTCTATCTGGGCCTTTGTAAACATACTTATATAAGTACTTGACACTTTTTATGCTTGCACAAATTTCAACATTGATGTGACAATCATACCTAACAGCAACCATGGATTATATGGAATGACCCAACTATTATCAACCATTATGTTTCCTTGTCGATCAAGAGAGACGGGCAATCGATTTCCTCGCCTTTGAAAAATTGAATACGAATCATTCCCTTGAACAGTGACTGGTGCAAATGGTTTGGGATACTTTCTCTTACAGCTCCAATTTTTCATACATGGAGATTGAGGATTATGAATCCCACACGGGCCATGAATCATATGCTTTAACACCACATTGTAAAGTTGAGGCTCTACGTCTTCATTTGGTATTTCAGCTCTAACAATTCGATCATATTCATCTGGGTTATTGATCTTAATCATTTTCATCTAACACCACCAGCATATGCACATGTGGAAGACCATGTTTCTAAAACTCAATAATGTATGTGTAGGCAACAACACTGCCCAGTACCCCTTTTTCAATGATGTCTTCTTTTAGTTGCTCAAGTTTTGCACGAAATACTCTAGTGAGCAAGTCAGGACGATCTTGTGGAGTTTGTCCAGCGAGTAATTCAATTTTGATTTCTTCCCAACTTGGGTTACATGTCATGGTAATAAAAAGATCTAGCTTTCCGAATCTTTGAACCAGAGTCATTGCATCTTGATATCGTTGGTACATCACGTGGGCTTCCAACAAATGATGATGGTAAAATAATTCTACGCCTAATGCTACCTGATAATTTTTTATTTTCAATTAACTATATATATTGTACACACTTTGAACAAAGTTATATTTTCAAATAACGATAACTGAAATGATATATATACCTGCATTGTGATGACCTGCATTTAAAGAGTCTTCAAGTCTTTTATAGAGATCCGCTCTAACTGTGACTTGATTAGAACGCAGCCATCAAAGTTTTTGTGATTCAATTTTAATGTAGTTATCTACATCATATTGTTGCAAGAAACGCCCACCTCGAAGCAAAAGTGATGATCCATTATGGCGTATCTGCAGAAGCAAATTTCATATATTGCTTTTAATATGGGAATCATCATTCATTTATATATATTGGAAAGTAAATTATGTTATCGGTACAAACCTGTAACATATAAGCATAATAGTCGTAACATGTTATTGCTCTTCCACCATCATCACGACTATTAATATCCCAACCATATGTACCGTGAGGTAGCAATAGTGGATACTGTAACGGATCATAAAATCGACATAGTCTCGGACGTGAGAAAGTCTTCCACTAATTGTCTCCACCACGATATCCCTTCCATTTGCAATGGTGGCATCATCTCCATCTATTATAATTGCTGCAACTTGTGATGCTGATGGTAGACTATACTAACACTGATCTATTGGTTGCTCTTTTAGGATCAACTTGCAATTCAGCAAATCTTGGCTTTGTCCGAGGCTTCGCAATGTATGAACAAAAGGATTATGGTTGTTCAACATCTGTTGTATCTTTTCAACCACACATCTATCTAAAACTTCACTTTCACACATTCGGTTTTCAACTTCATGCTCAGTGTCATATATATAAGTTTGTAAAAATCACGGTCTGTTTCCTTCATGTGGTAAAAGTCCACCAATCTTATGATATAATGCACCTTGAGCACGAAATGTGTAAATCCCACAACCACCAATATTTATTCTTTCATCCACGTGTACTCCCATTGAAGTGAAAGCAAATGCGTGATTGTAAGCTCGAATATTTTGCCTGAAGTGTCTACCCTCATTTGTTTGGTCAGAGAAAAGAGCAACCATATCTAGTGGAGATTGTAATGGGGGTAAAGCAACTCTTCCTTTCAAGCAACACATATTCAAAGTTTCTCAAGTAAACCATCGTGCGTAGCAGTACGGACATGTGGTTGGAGCAGGTAAGCAGCAACCTAGGATACCCCGATTCTCATTATAATTTCTAGCACAATTGTGGTTTCTTCTTCCTCTACGTTGCCGCACATGACGATTGGTTCTAGTTTCATGTTCTTGTTCTGATATTTTTATATGAATATCCAAATCTTAGTATAAGAATTTCCTTTGTAACTAATAATATATCTATATATAGATAGAATTATATACTAAGCTCACCATTATGGGGAAGAGTTGAGAGCATCCCATCAGATATTTGTGACCTATTCAAATGTGTCAATTGTCCTATATGAGTACACTTTCTAGCATAAGTTTAGTCATCACGATTTGTGATATCTGACAGAACCCTTGAACTCGTGCTTTTATGCTCAATTTGTTATAATAAATAGACCACATTATAATACGATTAGTTAAAAATTTTGTGTTTAATATTTAATATATTTAGTTGTGAGTCTAATATTTCTTAAGACTACCAGTAAAAATAACTACAACATTGAGATGAATATGAGAGTATCGAACAAAAGAATAAAATGAGATTTCAATTCACAAAATAGTGTTCTAAGAAATTACCTAATTTTTTAAGTGTGAAACAATTACAAATAAAGAAATTGAAATAAATACCAGGAATTTGTTTTTGTATATTATTGGGGTCGACCTCAACATCATAGTTAGCCAACTGAACTCTTTCTTGTATATTACTGGGACCTACTTGTTGCATAGTTAAAAAAAATTAGAATTTTATTTTATTTGTTTATTTTTATTTTATTTTTTTGCATTAGTATGAGTTAAAGGAAAAAAAATATGAAATAAATACCAGGAATTTCTTGTTGGAATTTGTTGGAATTTGTCTCGTGCTTTTAAACGTCGTCGAGCTAGATATCTTTGATGTTCTTCAGGACTCAATGATTGACGCCATTGTCTTGCACGATTTTGAGCATGCTCCATGAAAAAAATTTATCTAAAAAATTATAAAATAAACATATTGAACCTAAATTGAATACAAATTCTGTGACATTCAACAAATATGAAAAAGTCTACACAGATGCCTACGAACATGAGAAAAAAAAAACCGTTATCTACACAACACTATAATACAAAAGAACAAAATAAAATGATGACAAAATACTTTTGAAGTGTAATAATTATCCGTGCAAGGAAATGACAGGCCTATATACACTTGCCGGTTGGTGTTAGGACTTGAATGGAAATGTGAAAGATGTGATGCTTTAATTATTTCATGATTTTTTGGGGTTAGGATTTCTTTGGATTTGATTAAGCATGTGACTTGGGGAGGTCAATGTTGGTAATTTGGGAGGTACTGATTGTGTTAAATTTGTGCCAAAATATTTACGGTTGGTCTTCAGATATCTTAACGCAAAACATCTTAAATTCCTAAAAAATGGTACGCGTTAAGATAAATTAACTCAAAAATGGTTTCCGTACCAAATTTTTACACAAAACATCTTAAAAATATCTTAAAGATGGTTTCTGTACCAAATTTTTTCGTTAAGATATTTTGGGATGTTATTTATTGTTAAGATGTTTGGTACGCGCCCCTAAAAATGGTTTTGTGTTTGTAAAAACACAGGGTATCTCTTAAAAATTAGGCCAAAGTAGGTTCTTGAAGCCAAGTACAAATGTTGAATTTGTGCCAATTTAAGTTGTGTACAAATTTTTGCTTTTAATTTAATACAAATTCATTTGAGGTCAGGCCATGAAAACAACCTTTTTTTTTTTTTTCAATTAATGGTTGTTCACAGATTTGTCACTTGAGGTGGAAAGAATAAAAAAGTTGTGCGTTTTCTTACAAGTAACGCTAGAGTGCAATAAAACACAAAATAGGCTAGGAAATCATTCATCATATAAGAAAGAACTTGGTACATAAGTAGGAGCATCCATATAAGATTTCAAGCAAAGAGAATGGTGATACACGAAATACATAGTAATTCTGATTGTGTATAGGAATAATGAATATGTATTTGTCCATAAAAAAAATAAAAAATTAAAAAAAATTAAAAAAGATAGGAGAAAAGTACCAACTAACAGAACCGAAGGGAGCTAATGTATTTACCCTCTATTCTTTATTTGTCCTTCTTCTTTCTGTTGCATTTATGTTGGCGTCTTCAACCGCATCATACAATCTCAGTTTCCTGTTGACAAAAATGGAGGCATATATATCATCTTATCCTCACAATACCACAAAATACAGCTCACTACATATTGGATTCTCTTTGAACACTTTATTTTACCAAAATCTGTTAAAGATGAGTTGATTAAAACTATAATTTGCTCTATTTTTGTAGACCTGTATGTTGAGTTGGTTAGATTGGGGATTCCAATTATTGGCTGGAATTTGAATGTAGAATTGTTGGATAAGATCTAAGTCTTATTGATAATAAGGATCATTAGATGTATCACACATATGTTTTTAATGATAATATGGATCATGAGGCTCCCCTAATGTAGTGTTATGAGGAAAGCAGAAAAGATAAACTAGGTTCATGAGGATACATATAGAATAAATATTCTTGGATAAGATACCTTAATGATGTTCACGGTTTTATGTCAAAATGTGCATTTTTCTAGATAGGTGAGTTTTATTTACCTAACTATTGTGATAGTTAAAAGTTGGTTAATATGCTCT